GCCTCTGACCCGGAACAGTGCCTTCTGTTCCTTTCAGTATACTTCTTTTATGGCGTATCTTTTAGATATTAAAACCAATAAATCTCTACTTTCTTTAAAGTCAAAGAAATTGGCGCTATAACTTTGTAATTGGCAATTATAAAACTGGGAAGGAACTGACACAGCCCGGGATGGAAGAATAAAGATTTTGAACATCCCAGAATGATTTGCCACTTAGTACCATAACAGACACATGGGCGAAGTGGAGCTACCCAATCCAAAATTTGCCTTTATTTCATTGCTCAAAAAAAATTTACTCCGAACAGTGAAGGGCCAAGCTCAGAGATTTAAAGAGAGATTGATGCCCAAGATGAGAGAATTGTTGTCATAGAACATGAGCTCAGTTCTAGTCTCCTAGTCTCAGGTGAGTTATATTTAAGGCTCTCAGTCAAGTGTGAGGATGAATGGCTGGTTTGGGATAATGAAGCGGGAGGGTTGTGGGTATTTCATGGGAGTGCTAATCACTGGAAGATAGCATGGGCTCACTAAAAACAGTTCATGCCAGTCAAATCTTATTTTATTTTGTTAAAGGCATCTATTTGGCAAGGAAGTGAATCAAACAAAATGACAATTAATAGAAAGTTCTGCCATTAGGCATCTCAAACCATATCCCAAGTACAGAACCTGGGTCTTGGGAGAAGGAGTGAGGATATGGTCTAAGAACAGCATAAAAGACTTATGGGATTCCTTTTAGTATTTTTCCAGCTTTACTGAGAAATAATTGACAAATAAAATTGTATATATTTAAAGCTCCTTTTAACTTACATCTCTCCAATTCTCCCCTACCCCCCAGCCCTCGGCCCCTGGCAGCCAATGGTGTCTGTGAGATTAGCTTTTTTCTTTTTTTAAGATTCCACAATAAGTGATACTATACAGTATTTGTCTTGCTCTGTCTGGATTATTTCACTTAGCATAGTGCCCACCATGTTCATCCATGTTTTCTCAAATGCCAGAATTTCCTTATTTTTGTGCCTGAATAATATTGCATTATATACATAATGCAAAACACACACACACACACACACACACACACACACACACACACACACACACCATTTTCTTTATCCATCTCTATCCATTATCTCTCAATGGACACTTAGGTTGTTTCCATGTTTTCGTTATTGTGAATAATGCTACAAGGACCATGGAGATGCAGATATTTGCAATACTGATTTCATTTCCTGCAGATATATACCACCAAGCGGGATAGCTGGATCATATGGTAGTTCTATTTTTAGTTTTTTAAGGAACCTCCATACTGTTTTCCATAGTGGCTGCACCCATTTATGTTCCCACCAGCAGCGCACCAGGGCTCCCTTTTCTCCATCTTAGCCGACCACCATTCTGACACCAGAATATCACTTTCTCACATTTATTTGTTGGTTAAAGTAAGTTGCAGGTCCAGCCCAGATTTAAGGGGAAGGGAAATAGACTTGACTTCTTGGTGGGAAGAGTGGTAAAGTCACATTGCAAAAGGACACGTGGAATGAGAGGGATGGTTGTGGCTGCCTCTGGAAACAATTTACCAATGTGTCCTTGGGAAAATTATTTAACCACCTGATTTTATTTTCTTCGCCTGTAAAATAGGAAACAATAGCATCTACCACTTAGGGATGTTGCGAGTACTAAGAAACTGTTTAATACCTAGCGCATTGTAGTAGACAAACAACAGCAACAACAAAAACATGTATTAATTGAGCCCATATTATGTGGCAGCACTATGCTAAGTACTTTATGTAGTCTTATAACAACCCAATGATGCACATATTAGTATTGTGTAATGAGAAACATTAGGCACAAAAACATTAAGTAACTTCCACAAGGTAGGCTTCACAGTAACTATTCTGTCTAAACCATGAATGTCTTACTGTCGGCTACATCCAGAGGACATGGTTTTTTTATTTTTTCTCTTTAAGTTTTCTATTGACAGTGGACGCTGTTGATCACTCCTCCATCCACCACTCTTCCTCATTTGGTCCCCATGACTCGCCTCTGTCTGATTTCTCCTCTTTCTCTGATTGTTGCTTTTCAGTCTCATCCTTGTGAAGCCACATTTTACAAGGCAAAGATCTCTCCTGCTTTTCCAGCTCTTCTTTCCTGGAGGAATTTATCCAATATGGCAACTCAATGTCTACCTTTCTATGGATGATTGCCAGTTCCCCCAGTGAACCCCAAGAAGGAATGTATTTGCCAAGAAGGAATCCTCATGGTTAACTGGGCCCAAAATCATAACCAGAGTCTATCAGCCATTGCTGATAGAGGCTTCTCACTGACACGGCGTTTCAGGAAAAGTCACAAACTGAGCTGCCAAGCCTCCTGCACTGTGTTCCTGTCACCTGAGCTGAAACTTATAAAGGAGTTCCTGGAATCATCTTTTGACCAATGGGCTGAAACCTGTCACAACCAATTGGAACTGTATAGCTCTATCCTTATTTGCATCTGTACTGACCAATGAGTGGATCCATAAGGCCTGATCAGAACATGGGAAGCTGACCAATCAGGACAGTGCTATTTGGACCAATCACACTATATAAATTTGGATTCCTCATTTGCATAAAAATTGAGCAATCAGGGACCAGGATGGGGACTTTCTCTATAAAAGTGTGCCTCTCCATTGTCTCTGAAAAGCGAAATTTTGGCTTCTTCCAGAGGCTGTGTTTCCCTGGTTTGCAAACTGTTCACCTAAATAAAATTTCTTTTTACAGTACCCCAGATTGGGGACTCCTGTTGACATAAGATTGGTGGCAGGTGACGTTAGATTGATACCCCTCTTTTCTAAACTCTAGACTTGCAATTCAAGGTGTCATCAGGGACCAACCACATATGACCCAGGTCAGTTTTTGAAACTTCCTTGTCTTTCATTGTTTCTCATTCCGTTGGTCTCAATCCTGTGAATTAACATTTGAAATATTTTTCAAATTTGGATGTTCCTGGAAATCAGCCAGTGCCTTTAGCCTGATCTAGGCCCTCATCATATCTTGCCTGACTTATCAAAGTAATTTTTCTTCATTTTTTAAAAATTATAGTTGACGTACATTATATTAATTTCAGGCATATAATATAGTGATTATACATTTATATTCCTTATGATGTGATCACCACAATAAGTCTAGTAACCATCTGATACCATACAAAGCTATTACAACGTTATTGACTATATTCCCTATTCAGTACTGTACATTATATCCCCATGACTTATTTATTTTATAACTAGAAGTTTATACTTCTTTTTCCCCTTCACCTTTTTCATCCATCCCCTCACCCACCACCCCTTTGGCAACCATCAGTTTGTTCTCTGTATCTATGAGTTTGTTTTGGTTGTTCATTTGTTTTTGTTTTGTTTTGTTTCAGATTCCACAAATAAGTGAAGTCATATAGTATTTGTTTTTCTCTGCCTGATTTCACTTAGCATAATTCCCTCTAGGTCCATCCATGTTGTCGCTTAAAGTAACTTCTTAACTAAGCTTATTGTTTTTAGTTCCTCTCAGACATAGTCCATCAGTGTTAGACTTCCACATGCTTTAACACAGCTCCTGCCCACCATTATTACACCAGCTCTAGCACCACACCCTCTCTCTGATTCCCCCTCCACTTCACATGTTCTTTCCTTCCTTTCAGGGACCAGTTTCTCTGCTCTGCCTCTCCATGGGCACCCTCTCAACAGGTTTCTTCCCACCCCACCCCACCCACCCCTCTTATTTTCTAGGGCAAAGAGTCTATTTGTCTTTTCACAACTCTCTGGAGTTACCTTTACAGCTCTGCATTTTCTCTGCTATTCCAATAGAAGGTCCTTGAGGCCCTAGCACCATTCACAGTAGGATTTCAAAGCTTGTCTGTAGGGTGAACACACTGACATCTTTGAATTACTTTTCTGCACATGATTTACTATGAGGTATCACTAGCAACAGCAAAACCTTATGGCTAAGAATGCCAGTTGTAGAGATTCTACTCTAATTGTTTTAGAGTGGGGCCTGGACACTAGTATGTAAAAGGAGAAAAAAAAATCAAGGTTACCTTGCCTCCCCATGTATGAACTTGGGAAGGTGACACCTTTATGAATCTCGGGTTTTTTACTGGTAAAACGGAGATAACAGTTATACAGATCTTGTTGGGCTATCTAGGAAATTAAATGAGATTATATATTTTAAAAGCCTGTGGCACAGTGCCCGGCACACACAAACAAAAGAGCTCAGTACTCCGTAGTTATTTCTGGGCTTATTGCCTGAAGGGCTGAAGAGAGGTGACCTGTGTTCCTTTCCAAACATCCGAGATTCTGTGATACGCTTCCTTGGTGGGTGCTGGGAACACATTGGCAACCCTCGGGATTTCCAATTGATTGCTTAGAAAACCACCCAGGATCTACGAAGCTTCAGGTAAGTCCCAGGTCTTTCTCAGGTGCCGTTTATTTGACCTGATTCTGATCTGAGAGCCTCCACATTCTCTCAATCACTAGGGTGGTCGAAAAGGTCCTCTGCTTGATAAATCTTTCCTTTGTTGGCCAACCCTGGACCCAAACCCTACATTTGGGCGTCTGGCGCTTTTCGGCCCATGGTTTATGTACAGAAGGCGCTTTTCAAGTTTGAAGCCGGCACTTTGTTCTCCAGATCTGGCGGGTGTGGTCCAGATTGCACTTTTCGTGCAACGCGCCTCAAAATGTGCTTTGGCCACCTGCGGCGAGGGGCAGTGGGAGAGGTTGGTTTGCATCAGGTCCGAGGGGTGCGGTGGCGAGAGCGCCCGGAGCGCGCACCCGCTCACACTCTCCAAGCCTGGGTGCGGCCGCTCTGAGCGCGAGGTTCGGAGCCCAGAACCGTGCTCCTCTAGGAGCCGGCGAGCTTCTCCTGTGCCCGCCCCGCTGGCGCCCAAACCGACCGCCCGGATCCCACCCGGCAGCGCGCACCCCCGGCCCCGCCCCGCCCCCGGCGGCCACGAGTGGCGGGCGGAGTGCTAGGAGCGGGGCGCGCTGGGCTGTGTGGCGCCGCCTCTCCTCGTGTCGGGGGAGGGACGGAGGGGCTGGAAACGAGAGAGAGAAATCCCGACCCACCCACCGGCTGGCAAAGAGCTGTATGCAACCGGTGGGAGGCCGGGCCGGTTTGCGGCTGGGGCTTGGGCCGTTTCTCGGCGGGTCCCTGGCGGCGAGCGCGGACGGCCCGGAGGCGGCGGCTCTGAGCTGGCAGGCGGAGGGCTGTCTCCCGCGCCCGCCTGCCCGGCGCGGTCCGAGGATGCGGGGGGGCGATGCCCGGGGCCAGGGACGCGCTCTGTCACCAGGCGCTGCAGCTGCTGGCCGAGCTCTGTGCCCGTGGGGCCCTGGAGCACGACAGCTGCCAGGATTTCATCTACCACCTGCGGGACCGCGCCAGACCCCGGCTCCGCGACCCAGGTGAGTGCCGCCGCGGCTGCCAGGCGCGACCAGAGGGCCCTGAGCTGGGAGTTGGGGCCGCACCCTGGCCTGAGGCAGAAGAGCGACGCGGACTGGAGGGAAGAGGTGGTGGGGGGGCGGGGGGAGGGGGCGTACCGACCTAGAGGAGGGGACCTGGAACCAGCGCACCGGGGCCTGATGCTGGAACCGGGCGGGGACTCTGGCGGGGGCTGCTGCGCGGAGGCCGAGATCGGGTGGGCTGGGGTCTTGTTGGAGGGACCACGCCCGCCACCTGCGCGCTCATCCCTCGGGCTCCTGGGGGCGGCTCCTGAGCTCGGCGTTGCACTTCCCGGGCTCTGCGCTCCAGGCGAGGGGAGGCCGCGGCGGCCTCACGAGTCGTGGGAAGGGGGAAGAGGCCGGAGGAAACTCTGGGAAGTTGGGAGTTGGGGACGGCCCCGGGCTGCGACTGAATCCCACTGGGTCCTTCTCATCCTTGAACCGGAGTGCCCATTTCCTATCCTTGGTCTCAACCTTCCTAGGCTGAGAAGGGCGGAGCAGGACCCGGCGTTGGGCTAGGGACCGGGAGCCCCGGGTCCTGGGCAGCCGGCCTGAACCCGTTGCTTGCGGGTCGCTTGGCGTGGAGGCGGCCTGGGCCAGAGCGTCTGACTGGACCAGCTGCCACCGCTGGGCACACACGGGTCGGTGGGCTCGCTGGTCACGGCTTGTGTACCTGCAGTTAGTTATCCCTAGTAAAAGTGCGAAGCTCCTAACTTTGGAAAGTTCATTTATGTTGGCATTTGACCAATTAAGATTGGAGGAGGGAAGTTTCAGCGGAGCCCTTTGCTTTCTCCAAGGCCCCTGGGTCTACCACTTCTGTCTTCTCATGCACTACTGGCTCCTGGCAGACACATTCCTTCCAAATATTGAGATTCTACTCACCTGGAGAAATTTTCTCGAATATTCTCTCAGCCTAAGTACTAAAAGGAAAGGGAAAAAAATTGTGCTGTGGTTGGATTGTTAAAGATAGGGTGAAAAAACGGCCTTTCCCCTGATACTCATTCCTACGTATAAATATTGGAAATGAGCTATTGCTGTGCAAATTATCCAGCACAAATTTACCTCATTTTAAGCCAGTCTATTACATAAAAATCCATTTACACAAAGGATAAAGTAGATAATTATTTGATTCGTAAAGAGATACACACTGAGCCTGACTTAAATAGCATTTCCTTGATAGTATATTTTAAAAAAATGGGTCTGTAGGGTAATGAGAATTCATCTGTTAAAAGTTTATATCAGATTTTCCCTACTCAAAGGCTTTTTTTTTTTCTATTGGAAAAGAAAGATTATTGTTCCCCCTTGCCTGTGGTTGCATTAATTAAGTTTATCAGATGATCACTAATGTGTTACTTCAAAGTGGAGAATTAAGTTGAGAAATGCTGTTAATCCCAGATGATTTCCCCGCATAAATTTTAACATCCAGCCTTTGTGTGGGTCCTTGCTGGATGTGGTGTGTCGCACACATGAATGAGAGTGCCTCATTTCACGGACTAGGGGCCCAGGGTGATGTGTCCTAAGTGGGGCAAGTTCTGTCCTTTAGCAGCAGGAACAAGAAAATTATTGAGCATGCTTCATCCAAAGCAAGTGTTAGTGTTGATGCGTCCCAGTTCCTCGCCTGTGACTGTACCATGAGTTCTCATTGTTATCCCACATAAGCAGCCGTCTTTGGCTTTTGTACATGAGAAGGTGGACGAGGCCTCTCGCTGAGTTACATGTTGAACACGGCACATCTTTTGGCCAATTTTATACCTCTGTTCTTTTTAACCCACAAGCTGGATTCCATGTTCTTAGGTCTTCTTCCTCAGCCCCTGCCCTGGGCAGCCCTTGAAAAAAATCACGGAGAAGACTCCTTACAAGAGACAAATCTGATTCCTTGGCTGAGAAATAGCCATAGATAAGAAGAGTATACCTTGCTGCTCTTTGAGTTCCTAAAAGCACTCACTGCTCTGCTTTCTTAAACTAGGGCACAGGAGCTGTGAGGGAGCCCCATGCTCCTCAGATCATTGGTTTGTGTCGGGAAGTATCTTGCTGATGAGGAAGGAGTTGGAGGGGGTGCTCTGTGAGCGCAAGGTGAGAGGAATTGGGGCTGATGCCCACATCCAGAGTGCACCCTCTTTTCCAGGGCACTTCATCCCAGGCCAGAATCTCTCTTTATGCCCCTCTTTCCTCTCCTTGCCCACATTAATTCTTATATCAGATGTATTATTTCCATCCCTCTGAAGCTCTTAGATTGTACAAGCCAAGGCCGTGGGTTCCATTTAAGAAGAGTTGAGTGTAAGTCAAAGTAGCTTCTTAGGTAAACACGTCACATATACTAACAATCTAGGAGTTACTTTCAGTGAAAATTTCCTAGATATTTTTTCATAAGAGCCACCTTTAGACCTACTTTCTCCACTCTGTACTTCTATACTGGATTTAATCTCTAAGTATAGGTTAAATTCTATGCAGTTATAAAGATTCAGCTAAGTTTTTGGTTATGAATATTTGAATTATATGAGTTTGAATTACATGAAATATTTGAATTTTTTTTTAAAGATTTTTTTTATTGGGGAATTGGGGGAGAGGAACAGTGCTGGGGAATCAGGGAAGGGGAACAGACAAGTTGCTGTCCTTTTATTCTTCAGTCTAGTTGTGGAGGAGGTTGCTTCACTGGCCCAAGTTGGTACCATTATTGCGCTCTTCCTGGGCGAGGCAGATTAGTTGCCGGCTTCTGGACGGCTGCTTACGGTGGCTGCTGGCCATTCACACTGGCTGCCGGACACGGACACACACACACACACACACACACACACACACACACACACGGCAGCTTACAGCAGCCCACTGCAGCAGGGGCTGAAGCCTACACCATGCTGGTGACTCACATCAGCCCAGCTTCAGGTCCAGCCGTTCGTTGTTCACCATGTTAGCTGTAGAGGGCGCAGCTCACTGGCCCACGTGTGGGATCCGAACTGGGGCCCTGCTGCTCAGAGCTGGCGTCCCAAGCCAGCTCTTAACCAACGCACCACTCGGCTGGCCCTGAAATATTTGAATTTTATGAATTATTCAGGATATTGGTTTTTCATTGATATTCCAGCTTTGTATTTCTAGAGACTTTTCTTCATTTTCTGGTGAACTAGCAAATGTTCACCTGGTCAGGGTGTGCAGTGAGCCTCACGACACATTATTGATGACTTCCCTTTCTAGGTGGATGTTAACCCTATTCAGGAAAAGCTTTTTCTAGACCAGTGGTTATCAGTGTTGGCTGACCATTAGAAACATTTAGGGAGCTCTAACAAACAAACAAAAAAAAATAAAACGAACAAAAAATTAAGCGATTGAATCAGAATCTCTGAGGTTGAGGCCTAGTATCAATATAAGCGTATTTTTTTGAGTTCCTCAGCTGATTCAAATATGCACCCAAGTGGAGGACAGCTGTTGAGACCCTCAAGTGAAGTGTGAATCCACCTGACTCTTCTCTGCTCAGCTCACATTTTTTTCTTGCAAAATAAGGAAAGATGGCATCAAGAGTCAGGGGTTTTGACTGTTACCTTTGTATAGTTACTACCCAAATCAATGGATTCTTAAGTTTCTTTTGACATTATTACCCCAAAATTTTATTTTGCGGCTCCTTAAAAATTTTATGAAAATCTATTATGTTTATGTAATTGCGGGAAAAAAAAGAACAAATTCAGAAAATTGAGTCAAACTGCTGTTTCATTAAAAGGCCAGAATGTGGAAACTTCACTAATGTCACACTATATTGAGTTGGAGTGAAGTAACTTATTAGAAGATGTACATGTAAAATAATTAAGTATTGTTCCTAAGGAAAAATTTCCAAAATAATCATCAAGATTAAATATTAGCCTTAATTCAAATTTTCAATGATAGTCAAAAGAGAATCAACCTTAAGCACTGGATTTTTATGACTAGGCATTGATGTGATTATGCACAATGGGATTAATTTTTTTAAAATAATGTTAATTGCAATCAGGAAATAGAGAGTCTTCTAAGAAATGAGTGGCATACTGGATGCACAGTGTGTGAAGATCTAACTTGCATTTACGTCAGTGACATTTTCGGGCTTCTTCATAAATATTTTATTTAAACAAGTGTATTTTGATCTCTGTGGGATTCCTCTACATGGACCTGTGAGTGGTTTAGTCATGAGGTAATTATCAAGAGGGAGAAACAAAAGAAAACTGTAGTAAAGGCATTACAGACAGCCCTGTGGCCAGCTGCCTCTTCCAGAATAAGCAATCAAAAGCACAAATCTTTTGATGTGGGCTAAACTCTCAAGGGAAAATTAAGCAGACACCTAAGGGAAATCACCCTGAAAGTTCCTGTTATGTAAAGAACATAGACATTGCTTTCACTGTCAAAGCATATTGGCACTTTTGTGTTTGTGTGTGCACATGTGCTTTCCTATGTGTCTGGCTTTAAAAAATTCATATTCCCTTAACTGACTTACTTGAAGGAACCAACAAGTTCACATGCTAAAGTGTCTAGCGAGAGAGGAGGAGCTTAGTGAGAGGTAGAAGTGGGAGAGCAGTCTCACTTTTTAAAGGATAACTTGGAGTATGTATTTCTACTCTCTAAATGAAATCACAGTTTCAGCCATAAATGTGCACCACGACTTTTTCTTTCAAGTGTTTCATCGGGCTTGCTCTAGGAATGACTTTAAACCAAAGCAACCACCCAACAACTAGGTTTGGCAGGTCTCCTTGAAATATTCATCTAGTGCATGTATTTCATCACACCAAAACTTTTATATCAGCATTGACAGAACTGCATCTGGGAAAAAAAAAAACCTCACCAAGGAACTCAAAATGACAAAGTGGAATAAGCAAGAGCTTTGGAGTCAGAATCTGATCCTGCACTTACTAGCTTTATGACCCTGAACAAAATATTTAACTCTTCATTATTCATCTATAAAATGGGGTTGAGAGGCTGTTGCAGCGCAGTACCTAGAATAAGGGCTC